TTTGACCTTTGACCTCTCTTCTGTTCAAACAGACTCACCCAGATTTCCCTAAGAAACCTCTGACTCCGTACTTTCGCTTCTTCATGGAGAAACGAGCCAAATACGCCAAAATCCACCCAGAGATGAGCAACCTGGACCTGACCAAGATCCTGTCTAAGAAGTACAAAGAGCTGCCAGACAAGAAGAAGGTGTGGTTGACTGAAAACATATCAGCTGACAAATCCAGACTATGTGAAGCTCTGATAAACAGCCAAAGCTGCAGTAGGCTGAGATCATTGAGTAGATATGTTTTTATAGAAAAGGTTCTAATGCAGCGAGTCTTAAATACAAACTAGTCCTGATTGTCTGGATTCCATGCAGACATGTTCCTAAATGATCCGTGTATTTGAAATGCTGACTGTATTTATAAAGTGTTTATTTTCCTGTAGCAAAAATATATCACAGAGTTTCAACGAGAGAAAGAAGAATTTGAGAAGAACATGGCTCGATTCAGGTGAGTTCAGCTATTGACTGAAAACTAAATTTAGGAACCATAGCACGGTTTAAACACAGTGTTAAAGGTGCAGTATGTGGGCACAAGCGACATCTAGCGGTGAGATTGCATCTTTTAACAAAGCTTTCATACATCGTATTCAACAGCCATTTCACATCGGTTACCGTAAGTGTAAGACAAATTGCGCACTCGGAAAACAGAGTCAAGAGAATCTTTATTGTCATTATGCGTAGCACAACAAAAATTTTTCTGGCAGCTCTCTGCTTAAAAGACACATTATTTACATAACGCACAATTGTATAAGCCAGTATAAAACAATGAGCAAATAAAAAGGGATGTATGGGACCTATTCAGGTCAGCAGCATGTTAGCAGCAAAAGAGTGTAGTAACATTATAAGGCACAGCTCAGTGCAAATCTCAGTTTTTAGGAAGAGGTGTGAGCATGGGTGTGTGTCTGCAGAGTTCCAGTGTTCTGTCTGTGTCTGTCCATGGGGGGAAGTTGTGTGTGTGTGTGTGTGTGTGTGACTAGGGGTTAGTGGGGTGACTGATTTCACAGCTCTGGGGAAGAAGCTGTGTCTCAGTCTGTTTGTTTTAGTCTTTATATTCCTGTACCTTTTCCTGGAGGGAAGAGGCACAAACAAACTGTTGCCTGGGTGGGTGGGGTCTGAGCTAATGGCTCCTCACTTGACCACAGTTCAGTTTTCAAGAAGGCGGAGTACAAACTCATTAAGATGTACATTAATACCATTTTATTTGTTAGGCCTGTTATAAAAATCCAGGCAGATTATAAACATTCATTTTGGCAGCGCTAAGCACTTTTACTGTAATGGCAGGAAAAGAAGTGCAACAGAAAGTAACTGGCAGCTGGCTTAACTGTTTTTGCAGTCAACGGCTCACTTGACCACAGATAACCATAAAACGTCCCATTTGTTCACATTTTTGCTTCTTTGATGACAGGCATTCACCTTGTCTTCATTTTTTCTTATGTTGAAGTTTAACTGTGATCCTTCATTTAACTAATTATAGTTCTTAAACTCACAGTGCTTCTTCATGCTTCTAACATTACTTTTTCTTGCCTTCTGTCTCCACATTCAAGTTGTTATTTCCACCTGAACAGGTGAAATTCACCCCAGTGTGTGGTTTATCTCTTCTGGGCTACTGTAAAAAAAAAAAAACATGGCACCCTCCATGATTTGGACCCGCACCTATGTAGCTATAAAAGGCTCATTCTAAACTAATGAAAACATAGTGATTCTTATTTTCTGGTGATTACACATGAATGAAAACGTATTTGTATATACTGTAGCCCATTTCTGCTAATAAATCCTTCTAGAGCTCATACACTGCACCTTAACAGTTAGTCACTGTACAAGTTGGCCTGTACTCTGTCCAAGCTGAAGGCAAAGGAAACCTTGGCTATCGCAGGCAGGTTGGAGTCCTGATCTGGTGTAAATATGGAGACCACGTCTTCACATGGCCTCTCCTGAAGACATTCACTGTGTTGACTTCAGTTGGTCACACTAAAAGTGACAACCCCGCCTCCTTTCTCACCTCCACACGGCTGACCAGTCACTGAGGCAGGTGACTGTGATACCATCAGGTTTCTGAAGCTGTGTGACAGAGCATAAATCTGCTGTAACTCTGAGCCATCAATTGTTATAATGTAGCATGGCTAATATCAGCTAACCTGCAGGGAGGAGCATCCAGAGCTGATTGAGGAGCGGAAGAAGTCGGACCTGCCTGAGAAACCAAAAACTCCTCAACAGCTGTGGTACAACCATGAGAAGAAGACCTATATGAAGGTCCACCCTGAGGTATTGGCACATGTAGAGCTGGACAAGAATTAAAACACAACTTTAGATCATCATTAATGGTCTGGAGCAAATAAACCAAATTTCAAGTGTGAAAGAGACCAACCAATCTGTCTGTTTTGTTTCAGGTGAGTCAGAAGGAGCTGAAGGAAGCTCTGAGGAGACAGTGGTCCCAGCTGCCTGACAAGAAGAGACTCAAGTGGATCAGCAAGGCCCTGGAGTTCCAGAAGGACTATGAGGTACCAGACCAGTGTGTACTGACCAAGAACAGGCTAGACTGGACCAGATTAGTGTGAAATGGCCAGACTGAACTAAATTAGCATAAACCAGACTAAGCTGGACTGAATCAGATGCGACACGGCTAGACTGGAATGGAGTAAACAAGGTCAGACTGAACGTTATTGGCCCACATCAAACTAGACCAGACTGACTGAACCCTTCTTTTTATAGATCAGAGGCTGATGTATGGATTTAAAAATCCTGTGGCCTCTGTGGGATACACGTGGGTCAGGTCCATACTGCAGCCAGGATCAGGATTGTCCTGACTGGGAGAGCCTGATGAGGAACCTGTCAAACCCTCAACATGTTCTGAATGGTTTAGACCTGAGCCGGTGTTTGGGTGCAAGCTTATAGTCAAAATAATTGGTAGCATTTATTCTCAGTGGAGGATTCTGGAAACTAGATTCAGTGGGGGTGTTGGGTTCAGGATTTGACAGCTGGAACATGTGTGTTTCTGTGTGTGTTTTGTGTATGTGTGTAGGACAGTATGAGAGCGTATCATGAAGCTCATCCAGATGTGAACTCAGATGATCATGTTCGGTCTGTCCTCACCAAAGCAGAGCGACAGTTGAAGGACAAATTTGATGGACGGCCAACAAAACCACCACCGTGAGTCGTAATCAGTCGTCTGATATAGAGCCCACTAACGGGCACAAGGCTAACGTGTGCAACAAGCATCATGCTTATGAGCTTAAAAACGGGATAGTCTGACAAACAAGATACTAGGAAGCTGGTAAACAAGGTGGTACCAAAACATGCTAACAGGTGACAAATGAAATTTGGTGGAAGGATGATGAACAGGATACTAATCAGCAGTTGGTCAAGGTACTAGCTAGCTGACATTTAAGATACTAGTGAGGTGCTAAGCAAGACACCAGAGAACCAGTAGTGACAGACAAGACACTAACCTTGCAGACATAATTCTAATGAGATGACAAACAGGATGCTAGAGAGATAAGATATGACCAAGCTGATAAACACAATACGAACCAGGTGTGAACAAGATACTAACAGGGTAGTAAACAAGTTATTAAACTGACAAACAGGATACAACAATGTAAAAACCAGCAGCAGGTTGAACAGCCGGTTACAAACGGGTTGTAAACAGGATACTTAGAGCTAACTAATGGGATACTCAAGCTGATGAACAGGATACAAATGAGGCCTTTTGACAAACAGGATATACTGACATGACAAATGAGATGCTGGCGAGCTGATAAACATAATGCTAGCTAGTTTAGTTAGCAAAGTAGTTAGTAAAAATGGCTAATACTGTTTGTCTTCACAGTTGAGCTAGCTAACATGGTATGTGTCTTGCTAGTAACGGGTACTCTCTGTACTGTGCGGAGCTGATGGTGAACATGAAGGACGTCCCCAGCACCGAGCGCATGGTACTGTGCAGTAAACAGTGGAAAATGATGACGCAGAAAGAGAAGGACATGTTTCAGAAACGCTGTGAGCAGGTCAGTATCAGCACGCTAACATCAAACCCAGTCAGACCTGCTCCTGCTTCATGTTTCTGTGTAATCTGTGTTTTTCTCAGAAAAAGAAGCAGTACGACATAGACCTGCAGAGGTTTCTGGAGGTAGGACACAAATCGACTCTGTACATTCACTAAGAATCTGAATCAAATGGTTCATGTAAACACCCCATCAGAGGAAAATGACTGTAAGGAAATTGTCAAAGACTGAACAAGCCTTAAAGTTGTAGATTTTACTCAAAACGAGTATATGACCAATACAAGTAATCATTTAAACATACAAACAAGTCCATGAAATATTAACCAAATGAAATGAGATTAAAGGGATGAAAAGTCTGCACTAAACTTATATACTGCAGGTAGTTCAGTTCTGAAGGTTTGAGGGAAAGGCCTGCTGTTTCGAAAGAAGAGGTTTTATAACTTCCCCAGAAAATCAGCAGCTGATTATTTTCTCGACTAATGATTTAGTTTATGAGAAGTCAGAAAACGGCACAGCATGCACATTATTTCCCTCAGCCCAAGATGACCTCTTTAATACCATTTGACCAAGAAAAGAAAAGCATGAAATTCGCACATCTCACAAGACATTTATTCACTGATTGTTGGCTGACTTGTCGTTCAGTCTCAGTCGATGCAGCCGCAGTGTCAGAGCGGCCACGGCACAGCTTGGAGATTTAACACAGCTACACAGCCAAATGAAACAAAGCTATCATGCACGATATGAAATGAGGTGGACTTGTGCTTGTCAGAGCCTCCCAGAGGAAGAACGAGACCGGGTCCTGACCGAGGAAAAACTGGGTGGGGCCAAACTGGGAGTGGGCGTGGCCTCTAGCCCTCACAGAGCCAAATCCCCTTCTGTCAAGGTGAAAACTTTGTTTAATCCTGTGAACATTTGTGTTTTTTGTTACATACCTTTCCTGGGCTTGTAAACTAACCTGTCAGGTGATTTTTGTTTGTTTTCATCACAGGAGCGGGGCCGGGAGGCGGAGCCAGAGCCATGGATACCTGCTGGACCACCAAAGGAAAGACGGGATGGGAAGAAGACAGCTAAGCTTCCAGAGACACCAAAAACAGCTGAGGAGATGTGGCAGCACAGTGTGATTGGAGACTATCTGGCTAAATACAGAGTGAGCTTTATTTATTCTAATATTTTATATATATTTTATATTTTTTATGTTTTAATGTCAGTTTAATTCCCTGTTGAGAATAATTGCAAATATCCCAGTTCTCCTAACTGCATCCACTGTTCCCTCACTTGCATCTCAGTCCCGCCCACGTAAGATGCAATGAGAAACTGTGAGGAGACAGTAACGAGGAAACATGTTTTAACTGAAACGAGCCATCCTTTCCTTTGATCCCACATGAGAAGTATCCTGTCACAAAGTGATTTCCAATAAAAGGGCGTGTCAAAGCATATTCTCGGTTATAGCTCCTCCAGGCAGCCTCCTCACTCCTCAGAGCAGAAATAAGAGCTTTGGGAACTCCTTCATCGTGGCAGACTAGAACGACTTTCAGGTCAAGCAAGGACCGAGGAATGATAAAATAAGGGAATTGGGATTTGCCTTAAATGTTTTTAGTGAAAGGATAAGATATAACAGTCATGTGATTGTGGTCACAGAGCGACCGCAGGAAGGCTCAGGTGGCAATGGAGGCGGCTTGGAAGTCGATGGAGAAAAAGGAGAAGATTCCTTGGATCAAGAAGGCGGCGGAGGACCAGAAGCGTTACGAGGTTCAGTACCAACCTGTGGTCAGTGAGCCACGCCCCCCACTCCCACACACTGACTCCGCCTACCACCTGCTGAGGCTACAGCCACAGTAACACACCTGCTCCAGCCCCACATGTCAATATACATTCAGTAGTCAGTTTATTAGGAACACCTCTGTCGGAGTGAGTCAGTCTAATCCAACAGTACTACTGTAAAAGGTGATGCTATTCAGGTTGTGTTCAGCCTGTTTTACAGAACTGTTGGTTCGCCTGTGTGATTTATTTTGCTTTTTCTTGGTGTTGCACTGATGGTTGGTGTCGTGCAGAGGGAGCTGTCTGAGATGAGGACTCCCGCAGCCGGTCAGTGTCAGAGGAAGCCCAAGTTTGATGGGGAACCAAAGAAACCTCCAGTGTGAGTTTGGCCGTTTTTAACCAAACATCTGCAGGAAGTGTTACATGTTGTATAGCTGTTATGTTACTGATGCTTTGGGCCTGAACATTATATAGTTTAATATATACCACCCTCAATATGAGCAGACAATAAAGATGTTGGACACTTACTAATCACTGACATTTAACATGATCCTTAAAAGATGTAGAGCTGCTCGGTGGTAAAAGCCGAGCATTGCAGTGTGGGATTGTTAGCAGGAAGTCGGTGTGCCATTTTGTGAAGCAATTTAGTCAACAGTTGTTCTTAATTTGCTAAATAAATAAATTAACACTGACAAGGTCAGTTTTGAAGTCACGGTTTGGTTCATTTTTGTTACAGTAAGGGAAGAAACACGTCTTAAAATAGCTTATAAACAGCAGCAGTTTACATTTTTTTAAATGAAACAAATGATATAAAAATGAAACGATGAAAAATTGAATACTGCTGCCAACAGACTTATAACTAATAAGTGCTCCAGTAACCAGGAAAAGGCAGTTTAAACGATGAAAGATGCAGTGTTTGTAATATGCTCCATCTTCCTTGCGTTAGTTATAATCACGTTTGTTTGCTGTTGTTTCAGATGAGTTAGCAAGTGGGACGTGTTACCAAAACTTACCCGATCAACACTGAATAAACATATTGAGTGGCAGACCGGGACGCAATAAATAAGACCTCTAGAGATACACCGACAAGACAGTAGTGAGACCAGCTATGCTGGCTGTGTTAGAGACTGTAGCAGTGAGGAAAAGACAAGAGGCAGAGATGGAGGTAGCAGAAATGAGGATGTTGAGTTTCTCTTTAGGAGTGACCAGGATGGACAGGATTAGGAATGAGCACATCAGAGGGACAGCTTAGGTCGGCTGTTTTGGGGACAAGGTCAGAGAGGCCAGATTGAGATGGTTTGGACATGTGCAGAGGAGGGATAGTGGTTATATTGGTAGAAGGATGTTGGAGATGGAGCTGCCAGGCAAGAGGTCAAGAGGAAGGCCAAAGAGGAGATACAGTGGTGTGAAAAAGTGTTTGCCCCCTTACTGATTTCTTATCTTTTTGCATGTTTGTCACACTGTACTGTTTCAGATCATCAAACAAATTTAAATATTAGTCAAAGATAACACAAGTAATCACATCATGCAGTTTTTAAATGTATATGGATGTGCTAAAAGAGGACATGAAGTTAATTGGTGTGAGAGTAGAGGATGCCGAGGATAGAGTTAGGTGGAAACAGATGATTCGCTGTGGCGACCTCTAATAGGAACAGCCGAAAGAAGAGATGCACCAACTGATCAGCTGAAGTTCAGAATCGGCTGGTTTTTAGCTTGATCGGCCAAGCACTCGAAGATGTCTAATTCTGTGCCGGTGTTCTGTCAAATTGTGCTACCTTTTTGAAATATGCTGCCTTAGTAGCAGAGTCTGTGGATTCACTAGCCCCACCCCCATCCCTCACTTTGTGAGTTGTACGTAACAAGTTAAAGTTAAGTGCGCTCAAGTTAAACTTTCTTTAACTTTGACAGAGCGTGCAGGGACAGCGTGCGACCTTGTGCTGCGTTCAGCTCGGTGCAGCGCAGATGTGTTCTTGAATGGGTGTGATAGGAGCACAGCGCCCGCCACGTCCTACGCTACCTGTTGCACCTGCTTATATTTGAATAAGTACAAGCATTGCACTTCATTTTTAGTTGGAGGTTGGTAAAAATTAAAAAATGTTTTTCCTGCACTCTGGACCACTTTATGACTTTGAGATTTGTTTGAGTGAGACAGACAGAAAATGTAAAACTTAATGTAACGTTTTATTTTTATTACAATTTAATTTTTTGTTTAAAAAGTTAAATGTTTGTTGCATGCTGTCAGCTGCAGTTCTTAGAAAATCAGAATAGGCAGGTCAGACTTAGAAAAAACTCGATTTCGGCCAGGAACATTGCAATTGGCACATATCTCCTCTTATCCATTTGTCTGTGTTGTCTGTTGTCCTTCACTGGGAAGGTAAATTGTATCCAAATAGGAGACCTCAATGGTCAGGTAGGGTCTTCTAGCTCTGGCTCCTCATTTGCATTGGCCATAACATTCGCCAGCCAGAGGCCTGACTGAGCTAAGCGTGCAGTGCTCCGTTCCAGCACTTAATATGTTTGTGTGGGAATGCAGATTTGAAACAATGTTCCGTGCACGAAATAAGCCTACTGTTATCTACTATTAAAGATCGTATAGGGTACATGTCTGCAAACCTAATGTCCTGTATGGAAACTGTCAGTGTGAATACTTGTACTTTTACACCTCTACTAAAGAGTGATTTCAGACACAGCCATGGGATCACTAATCCAGGTGTGCACTAAGCCCCTCCCCCTGCTGTTTGGTCCAATAGGAGTGGGTATCAGATGTTCTCCCAGGAGCTGCTGACCAACGGTGAGCTGAACCACTTCAGCCTAAAGGAGCGGATGGTGGAGATAGGGAAGAGGTGGCACAAACTGAGCCAGAGTCAGAAGGACAAGTACAAGAAGCTGGTGGAGGAGCAGCAGGTGGAGTACAAGGCTGAGCTGGAGGCCTGGGTTAAGGTAACCTGCTGCTCGACGGCACTACAGCACAGAGCGACACTCGGTGTTAATGTTGTAATAACAGCTGAGGAAATTTGCAGTTACTGTTTCACTGCTCAATGAACTGTTGTTTGAAATTTGTATTTTTGTAAGCTTTTGAAATAAACGTGATTTATCATTCAAGTTGAGCTTTCGTTTTGTTGTTTGGCTTCATCAGAAAAACAACAACAAAAATAAGTTTAACATGAAGGACAGAAGTCAGAGCCCAGAGGTTTCATGACATCATTATTACCAAACAGATTTTTCCAGACCTCACTATGTCTCCCTGTGGTGGCTTTTTATCCCCTGTTGCAGAAAACAAAAATTAAAATGAATGAAAAGATGATGATGAAGAACCTTGTTTGTTTTTTCCTCCCCTTCTTCAGTCTCTGTCTCCTCAGGATCGAGCTGTGTACAAAGAGTTTTCGTCCTCGGTGAGTTTTGTCTATAAGTTGATAGTCAGATCATCAGGATCTTGCCCAGACTACTTTACGGGGCGTGGGGGGGTGTGGCACAGTGTCACCTGGGGGTGAGGGGTAACTGATTCAGAATTCTGTGTAAGCTGTTGCTAACTGACCAGTAATCTAACATAGTTTAATTGGGAATTAAACTAACACAGTATTAGCCAGTGATACTTTGTCCCCTCTTAGCTTATATTTAGTTGGCAGCTGTTTAGCTTTGCTAATGTTATAGCTTAGCGCTCATAAATTCACCATAAGCTAACGGCACACAAGCTTGACCTAACATTAGCAGTGTAAATCCACATACTGCTTTTTCTTTGTGTGTTTCTTTCATGATGTTCAATTTATTAACTTAATCTACTAAATAAATGTATTTATTTTATTAATTTAATTTAGCTGAACTAAACTACTGCTAACCCAACATAACCTAACAGGACACAAAGTTAACACAACATTGACTCAGTATTTAGCTAACAAGGCATAACATAGCATGGTTAAGCTAATGCTCTTTAATACTCTAAGCCCTCAGTATAAAGCATTTTAATGTATGAAAAAAATCTGATTAAAAACAAACTATATTTTTGATAGTTTGTTATTTGACAAAAATGATCATAAACACAGAGACAACATTGGCAAGGTTAAACATAATCACTGACTAACAGCGCTAAACTGACAGGTTCAGCTAGTAAACGGTTAGCATCTTTGTCCCCATTCATCAGTGACATTTCAGCATGTCAACACGTTCACTTTTGTGTTTTTGTGATTTGGTCCTTGGTCAGAAGCGTCGCAGCACCGCTAAAGTTCGCAACAGTCCCGGAGCCAAGGTCCATGTGACGGCGAAGGGGAAGGCGGTAGGTTCAAGAGCCACCACGCCAGGGGTTGCGGTGGGCAAGAGGGCTATGGCGTACCGAGCCAAGGTAACACACTATACACACTACGCAAGAACATACAACGCAACAAAAAACACAGAACACTGACAGTAAAAGAAAATTCTCCTGAGGAGAAACACATTTCACATTTTCAGTTACACATTTTTGTCATTACTTATTGTTTGTTTTCTTGTTGTTTAAGTTTGGTAATAAGCTGGACATTGTGGGCTTTTGAAGCCCTCAGTGCTGTCAGTCAGGTGACTGTCAGGCTGAGTTGTGAAGCTGTGACCCTCTGTCTGTCTTGCAGCAGGACATGTCTGACTCAGATGAGGAAGAGGAGAAGAGTGAGTCGTCCAACTCTGACGAAGATGATGAGACGTCAGGAACCACTGACAGTGACGATGATGATGATGATGATGATGAGGTGAAAACACAAAGATGTTCTTTTTTCCTCCTGTTTGATGTTTGGAATGTGACAGACTGTGACTGTTTGACTGATTTCATATAAGAGACATTTCTGCACTGATTTAAGAGATTTGTGTAAGTTTTTCTTAATGACTAAAAGCCAGTGAGCAGAACAGCAGTTCAGTGTGTGGTCTCTGGGAAGCCCCACCCACAACAAATGATGCGCAGCACGCAGAGGTCAGGTGCACGTTTCTGTGCATGCATTGTTGGAGTGCAGGTTATCTTTTAATTGTGAGGTTAGAGTTAAAAGCCAGAGCACTTTGTTAGGTACACCTGTATAACTGAATGAAATACAGTAATGTTTTATTACTGAGCCAATAGTTCAAGGTAGTTAGGACTGTGCTGTATTCAGCAGTATTCCTAATATCTTGAACCCATCTTGTATGTAAATGGAGACCAGTGAATATAAATGGTAAATGGTCTTATACTTTTCTCTGCATCACAGCTCACTCAAAGCACTTTCACGCTATTTGCCCATTCGCGCTCCCAGACACCTACATTCACACACCGGTGACATCACCGGGAGCAGCTGAGGGTTCAGTGTCTCTTTCAGGGACACTTCAACATGTGGGTATAATACAGTCCAGTACAACACTAGCTTAAAGACAGATGCCGTGGCAGAACTGTCAGACTGGACTGCACCCAGTTGCACTGGTGTACCTAATAAAGTGCCCAAGTGTATTTCTACACCTTTTTGTTTTTGATAGTTAAAAAAAAAAAGACAAATGTATTGTCTAACCCTAATGTTTAATATCCAATTTCAGACCAATTTCACTTCAGTCAAAAATTAAGATGTGTATATGTGGTGATTTGAAATAAAACCACAAAATGTTTAGGAGCTAAAGTGCTTCTGATGTTACGACTTGTGCAGATGGTCCTAGAATCACCATGGCAACCACCTGACATACCTTAACAACCACCTAGCAACAGACACCACATCAAAACATTTCCTAATGTGTTAGCATTAGCTCAGGAACATCTACTTTATTAACCATTTACTGTTTTGTCATTTCCTCAGAATGATGACGACGATGAGGAGGATGAGGAAGATCAGACCTCCTCAGAAGAATCCAGTGACTCAGACTCAGACTAACTCCACCGCTTCCTGCTCATTGGAGAGGATAGGCTGTGCAGGCCACACCTCCTCACATGCCAGTCATCCCGGCAGACCAGTGAGAAGCGATGAAGTGGCACTGCCCGTCCCACCTCCCTGTGAAGGGGCGGAATGTAGTGGAGCGTTTTGTTACCCCTTTGTTTTTTAATCGAGTGTTGGTTTTTATCAGATGGACATTTCAGATGGGCAGAGGTGGTTTTGTTTTTGCGCGGGTGAGGCTAGGGGTGGGGTTTGTACAGTTTGATGGACAGGGTTAAAGCAGAGCCTATTGGTTGTCATTAGTTACCGCTGAGGGAGGAGACGGTGTTGAACCTCCAATTAGCCATCTGCCTGAGAAAATTAACTAATAAATGCACTTTTTCTCACTTCTGTTGTACAGTTTGTCATCTCTATTAAATAGCCCCTCAAAAAGTCCCCATCATTAACCCTTAATTTCCCCTTTAAATCTGTGCATGTTATCAAGATTTTTATTTGTCCTTTTACTTTGAAAAATATCACTTCAAAAACATCTTAAGTTGAAATACCTTTAATGAACAAATTTTAAAACTGTTACCCTTAATTTCCACATGAATGTGAAATACTACAAACATCAACAGATATTTTTGTTATTAAGGTTAAGGGGTACTGGCTTAAGCAGTGGGTAAAAATAGGCCACCCTCCCACCACCATCATACATATTTATTTTAACTTCCACCTTCCAGCTGTTTTAAGGCATTAGGAAAACCCTTTACAAAGTAACCATGAAAGTATCATTTAAACCCAACTTCTGTTAATCTGAGACTTGTTGAACTTGACCTGTATCTTGTAGGTGGGTCTTGACTTGGGACTGCTGGCGTTGCTATCCGACTTCTTGGCCTTGACTGGTTTGCTGGTTTTGGGCCTTCACGGCCCAGACTTGAGGCATATTGTGGACACATTGTCACAATAATAAACCGTTTCACTCCTCATAAAAATGACACATGGTCCAGTTTGCTTTCAGCCTTTATAGACATTTGAATCAGTGGATTTATAGAATATAAACAAGTGTCTCTCCTCTCAAACATCCCTCCATCACCTGATACACAAATAAATAATCAGACCTTTGACCTCAACAGCCACTCATCATACTAACTGATCCTTTGGCACACACCATGTTACCATGGTCACTCGGAGAGAACTACAGTACCCATCAGCCCCTACTCTCGCTAGAGAAATAAAACAACCCCTGCCTCCATAATCTGGTTTTATAAAAGAGACGTCCCCAAGCACATGCATCGCCATCATTACCATGGTTACTAAACATTATAAAAGAGATTCCCCCACCCCCGGCCGAACAACAGTAACTAAAAAAAAATTACTTTTGTTTGTCCACACAGTGACCAATCACAGCAAACCAAATGACACGTTAAAGGACCAGTCTGCTGTTTTATTTTGTTTGTATTTTTTAATTTTCTGCTGACCACCTTCCAAATGCAATCTTTAGCTGAATCCCACCCAATTCCATATCTTTATTATTCCTTGCTCCTCAATAATCACTCAACGTGGAAGTCGTTCTAATCCGCCATTATGAAGGGCGTCCCAAAACTCTTACATCTGTTGTTGGGCCAGGACACAAGAGTGCATCATTTGCCGTCTTTATGGAGCAACTTGCCCCTCGATTGTAAATCAGTTGGTGATTGGACGCTTCAGATAAAGAATCAGAGGAAAGGACGTCTTGTCCTTTTAAACGTGTGACCTGGTTCCTCTGTCCTCACATTTATTCCTTGCATCTTTTCCTCAAAAGTTATGCGGGCAGGACTTAGATAAGACAAGTAAGGGAAATGTGTGTATTTGAAATGGTGGTAAAATGGTGCAGAGTTCATTTGGTGGCTTCTGGAGTTCTTCTAGAAGAGTATGGACTACCTCTCCAGCCCTGATCACAGATTTCATTCTCTGCAGTGACTTTAAAACAGTTTGAAACACTGATGGCTGGTTGGGAAAATGTTTATAAAGCAGCGGGGTGATCCTTTCTCGCCTGATGGGAGTGCGAGGGTCGACATGCCCATTAATAATCTGAATGTGAGCTCCTGATCATATTCATTATTTATTCATCCATTGGTTTCTTTAATGAACTAATTACTCGTTTGGTTTCTGACAGAGTCCACAGTTGACAGTTCCGTTTTCTGTGATGAAAAACAGAAAACCTTTGAAGACTGTGGAAAACCCAATGAGAACAAACTGATAAAGAACCATGAGAAGATTAAAAATGCCATTAATGTGCAGGTGAATCCTCACAGACAATATCACTGTTCAGAGTGCTCTGCTAATAAACTGCCGACCTCTCACCCAGACTTGCACTACAGACCTCCACACACACTCACATGCGCACAGACACACACACATACAGCGTCATAGCGGGATGTCCAGCAACTTCTTGTGCAGGTACTGCTTCACCTCCTCGATGCCGTTCAGCTTCTCCAGCTCATGGTATGGCAGCTGACAGGACAGAAAGACGACAGGCCACATGAGCAGAGAGTCTAGTATGTGTTTAGTCTGACTTAGCACAGACTTGAATTGGAGGGAAATGTTGACCCTAGCTCCTTTTAAAGAACAAGTCTGTCTGATTTACATGCTGCACGTTGTTTATTGAGCAAGACTATAAACAGCAACGTGAAGTTTACACAGCAGTTAGTGCTGCTTTTATTTGTTGACAACTTCTGAATGCAGCATCGCTGGAGTCATAACCCAGAGTGGGGTTGTTGGTTTGAACTGCGGGCCCTCCACTTGTGGGGACGTGTCAGGACCATGGTGAAGCAGGCTCCATAGACATGGTGGTCAGGGAGTCTGGCTTGGTCCAGGAAGGGTTACGGTACCAACCAGATATAGTCAGCTCTCAGTGGATCATCCCCTTTAGGTTGGGAGAGAGTTGGTGCCCCAAGTGAAGGAGTTTGAGTATCTCTGGGTCTGACTGATGCTGTGAGGTCTATGTCTAGTGAAGTGTAATGTCCACAGTCAGCTGTTTAAATCACATAAATCCTGTTGTTTTCTGTTTCTCCTGGAATCTGTTATGACTGATCAGGCTGCCCAAGTTTCACTTTCTCCCTCTGTAAAGAACTGGGGAAGATCAATAAAAATCTTTCATGAAAACTACTTTTGTCCAGTACACTTGTGTTGTTAGTCAGCCTGCTAAAGGCTCTTTGTCCCACTGCTGTCCTGCTGACAGACAGCTGCTCTGATGACTTTAAAGACAGAACATGATGCTCACGTCTCGCCTTCAGTGTGTTTTCTCAATTCTATGCACTTCATTGTTTTGTGCTGTGACTGCTAAACTTGAAACCTCAGGATTAATCTGGTTTACTCTCTCGTTTACCTACCGAGGGCGTGGCTTATCCATGCTACACACAAAGCACAGTAGAGGAGACAGGTGAAGGGAGAGAAACTAGAGTTGAAGATGAAATTAAGTGCAAAAAAACAGTGTAGACAACAGTCTAAAACACAAATCTACAGTTTGTGAGTTGCAGAGCACAACTGACCTGAAGGATGAAGTATCCCAGCAGCCTCAGGTGTCGGTCTCTCATGGCCCGGGAGCCAACCAGAACCTCAGAGTTGTGGCAGTAATGCCACTTATCGTTGACGGACATGATGACCCTGCAGACACAGTCATTGAATAAAGTTCTGTTCGCTGAACTCTACTGTGATGTGAAAAATAAAACCTCAGGATTAATGTGGTTTACTCAGACTCAGAGGTTTACTGACCTCCTGACCTGTCTCTGGTCTGCTGGGAGGTTGCTGGCCTCTGGTCGATCAGGGGGGTGGAGTTCTGGTGGTGATGGGGGTCCTCTGTCGGCCCCGGACCCCTCAGAATAGGACACGCCTTCGTAAAAAGCCGGCAGCTCACACTCGGTCTCCTGACCCCCTGAGGTCGTCGTCCCTCCATCGTCCTCCAAGATCTTCCTGATGGAAAACTGGAAGAGCGAATCTGAGGCTGTGGCCCCTGCAGGTCCCTGGCCCCCAGGTGGGGCTAGGCCATCAGAGGGGGGGCTGCTGAGCGTGGAGCTATCTTGGCTTTCCAGAGAGTGCTCCTTTGCCAGACTGGAGTAGTACTCCACCGCAGGGACATAGTATGGGCCATAGTCCAAAGTGGCGTCATTAGTCCCAGGACGAGAGGGCCCCGAGGGCACTGTGGTCCCCGATGTGCTTCGGATGTGGTGGGGCAGATAGGACCTGGGCTCTATGGTCCCCCCCATGGCCTCACTCACCTGACATGGCTGCTCAGTGCCATCTTCTAGCACCGTGAATGGAGAGAACTTCTGAAACTCTGCAGTCACCACGGTAACTGGACCATCAGCTGGTTTGGATGTCACGGCAACACAGGACGAAGGAACAATGCTCAGAGCAAGACCAGCTCCAGTCCTGATGGGCAGGACCCGACCAGAACTGTCCATCCACAACAGAAAGTCTGGAGACAGGTGAGAATCAGATTACAACATTCAAATTATATCATGACAAACTACAGTATGCAGTGTACAGTACCTGTGTAGTATCCTGGGGCAAGTACTTCATCTTGTTTGTAGTTTTGTTCTCCAACGAGCTGACGCAAGGCCTCAGCCACCAAACCCTTATAACTGACAGAAGATAAAGGGATCAGAACCAGTTACAGCTAGCACCAAGAACAGTCAGGCCCAGCCTTTAGAAGATGTCTGTTGGAACATCCACAAGAGCACGTCACAACTAGTGAGCAGGGAT